TTTTTCTATTTAAGTCCTAGAACTTGTTGCTTTTGCCCCTTCATTTACCAGAATGTTACACTTAAAATCTGGATGGGACAAATTCAGCAAAAATATATTTGCTTGCATATCACACCAATTTTGAATGACTCAACCACTTCTGGCCCCAAACTTACTGGAATACACTGGAGTTAAAAAATACACATGTAGCAGTATACCAGTCTATTAAAGTTATCAATCCCTTAGCCCTGAAACAGTCAGGCAAGCCTTGGATAGAGGCCTCAGGAAGGTCACTTCTGGAGTCAGCAGCCTCCTCTTATTTTCTCCTGTGTGTCTTACAAGATCACTTTCCAGTTGGGCTATGATGTGGAAAAGAACAGGAGAGAATGCCTGATACAAATAAGTAATCTGAAAGGATAGGAGGACAAACAATACCTAGCATTTTAGATGTACCACAAAATTAACACACTGAAAATAGACTTTTTTCGCCTTCATTAAAGGAGCTACAAAACTTACCCCTAAAAAACACTTAATGTGACCTGCCATACTTACACTAAGATAGTAAAATGAGCTTTGATAACTTTATGTGAATCCAAACCAACCCCAAATTCAAAATGTAGTAATTCCTGTGGGATTTTGAAGTCACAGCTTTAAGTTTCAGTAATCTGCAGGTACTTCACATGTAAGCTTTGGGTGCTGCATGGCCTTTCAGAAACAAGCTAGTAAATAACTAAACTTAACCCAATTTCACAAATATATTAATTTGACTGTAATGCAAGAAACATAACTGGGAAAGGGTGTATATATATATACACATACATGTGTGTATATATGTGTGTGTGTGTGTGTATATATATATAAATGTCTGAAATGCTTATACAATTTTAAAAGAGTATCACATAGTATATTGTGATCTGAAATGTCTTTCTCTAAAAAAAAAAAGTCTTTCTCTAAAACTAAAAGAAAAAATGGATCCCAGTTTCATTCATCAGCATTCAATTTTAGGAAACTAAGACACCAGCAGTTGAAAGTATGGGTTGCCAGTAGTATGGCAAGCAAAACCGGGATCTCCAGGAAACAGAAAACTACAGCAAAACAATAAAAAAATCCTGGTAAACAACTAAGAAACAAGAGGAAACCACAGTCCTCCCCTAAACTACAATCCACGTGATATTTAAAAACAGAGTCTGCTGTGATGTTCCTTCCTGTAGGCTTTGGTTTGTTACACATCAATTGGCGACAGGTGGCAAAAATGCTTCAAAGGGGCTAAGTAAGGAACAGACAAGTTTTGTTCATTTTTTTTGGGGGGGGATTTGTTTTAAAAAAGGTTAGTAAACTGTCCTCAATTCATCTGTAAGATGAAGAAACCAAGGACCATTCCTTTGTAAACAATCTAGAGGAGGACATTAAGTGAATCTGCTATGAGGAGGGAATCTTTATGGAAGGGATAACAAAAAGTTAAGGTGGAAGGGAAAAGTCAAGGAAGGACAGAAAAGGAAAAGGTTGTAGATGATCAGTAATTTACCAGCTTTACCAGAGCACAACCAGCGCCTCGAAAAGCCAGTCTCCTCATTATGTCTGAAGGCCAACTGAAGCCAGTGGGAGAAGGCAGGGCTTTAGAAGTGCTGATTCAATGTTAGTATATTCAAAACTGAAAGAGAAGAACAAGGCAGAGAAAGGGAAAATAAAAAAGAAGGGTCAGACAGAGTAAAAATGAATACGGATAGAAAACATTCAGAAAGAACTGCTAGACAAAGGTAAGAGAACTGGAGAAAATAGACATAAGTTTCCTCATGCCAACCAAAATGCTATAATGACTCAGGCACAAATAACATTTCTTCCATTTTAAAACCAAATAGTTTTATACACATAAAGGTGTCTCACTGAGGTTCTCCTTTACTCACACACAATGACTGTCAATTCCAGGAGTGGAACATGCCTGCACAACTGCCCCTTACTCAATAAGAACAGACTTCAATCACAGAGCTGGAAAAGAAAGTGAACACATGTGGCAGATTCACATGTGACACTAGTGTTGGCAAGCTGAGACAAACCAAGAATGGCTCATGTGAGCAAAGACTTTGGAAAACTTCCTGCCCACCCCACCGAAAAAAATTCAGAGAAAGACAACATTTCTGTCCAAAAGTCCAATCAACATTGGAAAGACCACATACAGCTTTAGACAGGTTAACAACAAACCTTCAATTATTTTACTTTTAGACATAATCCACTTTTATAAAAAAATTACTTTGTAAATAATCAACTGAAAATCAAATGACAAAAAAATCATTAGTCAGTTTAGTCTATAAAAAAGTCCTTGTATCATTAATTTTCTCTAGTAAGAAAATGGTGCATTATAACAATCATTCTCAAATTTTTTTTATCCAAAGGATACAGGTTAAAATTAATTATGGAAGTTTGGCAAGACAGGCAATGCGACTGGGTGGTTGGAAAAGCAACAGGACCTAAGCTCAAATTAAAATAAGAGTCCCAGGTCTTCCATCTCGAATTAACTGTTAAATATTGCTGGAGTCACTTCAGATTTTTCTTCATCTCTGAAATGGGACTGCTGTGACAGTGAAATGTACACGAAATAACTCTGAAATTGCAAAGTACAAAATAAACCTTATGGTTCAACTCCAGGTCTGTAATCTTTTTCTGTATAGGCATAGGATTTTATAACTTTTTATAGTCTAGGCTCACAAAATAACATTTAGTATTGAGTGATCAATTTAAACTTTTAATAAGAATATTAATGTGTAAATAGAACAATTTTTAAAATACTGGACAATTTAAAAGTCCTGTTTGCATCTCCTCAGCAACTGAAGAACATGGAAATAGATTCTGGAGCTCAATTACAAATTTTAAAACCACATAGATTAGTCACACAAAAGTCTGACAGTCAAAGATAAAAAGTAACTTTATGGGGGGGGGGCCTCCCCAGTCGTGCAGGGGTTAAAGTCTCAGTGTTATCAAGCTGTTACCAGTAACTGCAGCATAAGTTTGATGCCCAATGGGGAGCTGACCCACATGAAACAGCAGACCTCTTCTGTTTCCCCCACCGCTCACCTCAGCAGTGTATTTCAGTAAATCTGCTCCCATTCTGTCTCTGGTGAATCCTCTCACGCCCCTCACCTCTCCCCTACACCCCGTTCTTGTATACATAAATAAATAAAAATAAATCTTCAAAAGAAAAAGTATAACTTTATGAAGTGCAGCTGGGAAACTACCTACACAGGATAGCCAGTGTATTCTGACGTTTATATGCTATTAGGGTATTAGTTTATACACTATTATTTACAACAATATGCTATTAGGGTATTAGTTTATACACTATTATTTACAGCACTTACTTGGTACTATAATACATGTTTGAAACAAACAAACAACAAAAACCTTTGGAAAACAAAAGACTTAACCACATATCTACTTTCCAGAGAAAAGCTACCCTTAACACTGGTGCTCACAGCTTTTAATACTTATTCTATGCCTTAGTTGCCTTAAATTTAAAAAAAAAAAAAAAAGCGTTAAACCATTGTTCATTTATTTTGCAGCCTGTGTATTAACCCAGGGGAGATTCTTCCAAGTTCAAATTCTTCTATAGGTTTAACGGCTTGATAATAGTTTACCATATAGATATATATCACAATCTACTACTTTTGGAGATTTGGACAGAATATCATTATTTGAGGTATTCTGTAAACTCCCACAGTCAAAGAAAGTAGTTACTGCCCTTCTATTTATCCATCCACACATATATCTTTTACTCACTTAATTTGAAATACTCTCTCAAAAAGAATTTTCCAATCTTCCTTTGGATCTGAAAATATGACAATCTGCTAACAAGTAACAAAGCAAAATTATACTACTGTTTTATATTTGTACAGAATATAATTTGTTTCTGAATTATATCTGAGAAAGAGTACAAAACCAAATGGGAAAAGAACACCTAAAGTTCATTTTTGAGGTGTCCTATTTCGTTCGAAAATAAGTTCAAGTATTTCACTCCAAGATATGTCTTTGTAATTAGAGTAATAATTTCCACATCTGCTAGTATGTATTTGTCATTTGTTTTTCAGGATTTCGTCAATATTTCTGCCAACCTTTCCCTCCGTTTAAATCACAAGCAGCTACTCTGTATCAAAACTATGTCTCTTTCAGTCAAAAATTTTAAAGACAGAAAAAATAGAAATAAACAGGAAATATACAGTTTTACATCCTCGATTCTTTGATATTGCAACAGGAAACTTAAATATCTGATTTCTATTATAAATACAAGTTCCATTGAGAAAAAACGCTCGGTGTGAGTACAGTCATCCCGAAAGTGTAAAAAAAAAAAATCCCCACACACACACTCGAAGAGTTTGCGTCCGCACTGTCAGGAAGCAACCACCAAAAAAGGAGGCCCTGACCCATAGAGAAAGGTGGAGGCCGACCTGTCACTGGTACCGCGGGTTTACGGAAACGTTGACAGCTTTGAAGCTGCCCCGGACTAGCGCTCCGCCAGCTGCCGGGGGCGGGAAAGAGGGGCGCGGGGAGTTTCCGGGCCGCGGCGCGCCTTTGTCCCGGCCGGCAGGTGCGGCAAGGCTGCCGGGCCG